TACAAATAAAATTTGCTACTTAGCTGATTGACTCTGGAGTTTCATAGACGAACCGTTTAGCAATCGTTCTGTCCATTCGTCAGGCTGTTTCACAATGTCTGTGTGTGTGTGTGTCTGTGTGTGTGTTTGTACAAAAAGGCGAATATTTACCTGGAGACATGTCATAATCTGGTCCATTCTTAGGCAAGTGGCTGCAAGATAAGAAGATAAAATACATTTCAGATCATTAATTCTTGTAGGATTTCTATCTTTTGGTAAGTCAAAAGTTTGGGTTCTGCTAGGGAATTTGTTGGGGATTTGTTCGATGTGAGTGATGCGTCGTGTTTTTTCAAACTTCTTTGGAGAAGAGGAACATCTAGCAGTATGCATGCCACCAGGAAAACGACGAGGAACAGAAACCATTTTAAGCCGTTGTTGTATGTCGGGTTTATGAATAAACCTGGAAATCTTTATTTCAAAACACGATTACTTAGGGACAGAAAGTCGAAATTGTCAAGCGAGAAAACTTTGGTCACCATTTCGCAGGCTTCAACTAACAGTTCCACGTGCCATGTTTAATGGCTGTCAGTTATCAGTTATCTCCTTGTTAATTTTCCCTCTGAAAGTTCTCCACTGCCTTAACCGTGTATTGAACTCACACTCTTTGGGTCCTGTCACTGGATCTAACCAACGCCTTTATCCACTGTGCCATCCATTAGACCTGGCACGTGGAACTAGAACAGTCTACACCAGTGAGCGAAATAAAGGGTTCAGTTCGACATTCCAACCACCTGAAGAAGGCCGGAGCGTACAACGGCCGAAACGTTGTAATAAATATGGCGACAAAGATGAGGACAATAGTCCGAATAATGTAAATAATGAAGAAACTATTAGTATAGTACTTACGGTTACAACTAGTAATTTCACTAGTGAAATTACGAGACCTAGCTGCCAGTCGAGTACTGCTTTTAAATTCGTGACGTTAAAGTACGAACGAAGAAATATCATCAGAACAATTGCCATGAATATATTTATGAAAAAAAAAAAAAAAAAGCAGAGGGACGCTTTCGGCGTGGGAAAGTGGCTGAAGCCGAGATGCCAGGTCAGGACCGATAAGGTTTCTGAATCTTCTTTGGATTTTGTCAATAATCTCAAGATATATAACAGAAAAATTAGACTAGATGTGGTAGCAATATTCGATGCAGGAGTGAATAATTCGATTCATTCATTCATAAATGTGCATGACAGATTTTTTACAGGTGTGTTCACCCTGTACAATACTGGAGGCCTACCGAAAGTAGAGGATTACAGCTTAAGAGGTATAGATTATGCTAATATCTGTGGAAGATAACGTTTAAACAGGTTAAGATCGTAAAGATCGGTGAAGCAACCTCTTGGAAATCGGTTTCACAAGTGGTTCTTGCGAAGAATCTGATTGAGTGGGATTTACATCTCACCAGGTAAATACGATGGGACTGAGGATGGTTCACAACAGTGAGAGTGGCATGGCCGGTCCTAGCCCTGAAGGAGGTTAGAACTGGCATAACAAAGGAGTGTAGTTCATCTGAACACTTTCCATGGAAATAGCGATAGAGCGACAAGAAGCTTGTGACGTCTTGTCTGTGAGAAAGGGGGGCTGCAGAGTGGAAAATAATTTGTCGCCCATTGACTCTATCAAGAGTGGAATGTGAAGACTGGGTAGCTACTGCCTATACCGGGTGTAACAGCAAAATTGTCCAAATCGTGTAACAGCATAATTGTCCACCCCACAAAATGTTTTTAATATCGTTAAATACACGAAATTAATTAAGTTTCTTTTTTCCAGGTTTTCAGATAAAACGTTTAGCCATCATGACACCATTTATCGTAAGAATCACTGAAAAACCCTTTGAGGTATTCAACTTGAAAAGGACAGGTTAAAATCGTTTTGCGTCAGCCCCACTGTCTTCCCAGATGAGCAATGGTGAGAAAATAAAGATCATTCAGGCCTTCAGTAATTGTACCAACATTCATTCTCTGGCTCCCATCTTCAAAGTTCATTCAAGAACCATCAAGAGAACGGGGAATAAGTTTAAAAAGAGGGAACAGTAGAGAGGAAAACTGGATCAGGTGGTTAAAATAGGGAGAGGGATCATCATTTCAATTTAGAGCTAAAGAGATCAATTAGAAAATATCCAACTCAGTTAATAAGACGTTTGGCACGTGAAAGAGAAGGAGCTTCAGCTAAGACAGTCCTAAGAGCAGGGAAAATGATTTGAAAATGAAATCGTACGTGAAATCTCTGATGCAGCTTGTTACTCCAGGACAGAAAGTTAGAAAGTTAGAGAGGGCGAATATAATTTGAATAAGTTGGAAAACGATCCTGAAATAATATATATATATGAAATTTATTTCAATCCTTCATGAGCTTCCGATCTTTAGCTATATAATTAATTAATGATGAATATGTCATTTTTTATGATCAATTTCATTCTTCTGTTAAGCTTAATGAGTAATTATACATTCTTATTGCTCAAAGTAGAGTCTAATCATGTTATGAAGACCCTGGAGAATTCCAGTAAGATATCTTTAATCATTTCTAAGATACAACGGTTCAAAGCTTAATCTAACAATTGGACAATTTTGCTGTTACACGATTTGGACAATTTTGCTGCTACAAACGGTATATGGTTGCAGTACTCCATTTTCGGTCTGATCTGGCTCTTGTAAAGGTAGACGATAGCAGGAGGACATGCTGGATCGGTATAGGGAACCGATCATTTTCCCAACATCTTTAGCCATGGATCGTATGTACGAATTCCACTTGACTCTTGAGTCTTGGGCTGAGTTTAAGTACCAATAGGCGCTCAATGATTCTGGCGAGAAAACTAAATCATTTGTTTCAATTTGATACATCAGATATTCACTCAAATATGTGACAGAGATGAAAGAGCTGAATAAATGAAAACCAGTTTTAATCGTGTGCATAGATATTCTTTTTCCTTTTTCAGTACATCTATGAAAAAAAATGGAAACGCTTTCCGTAAAGTACTTACTCTGTTTCTTTAAGAGCTTTGATAACGGTGTTTAAAAGAGGGTATTTTCCTTCATTGCACTGACCCTTATAGTCATCAAGGTCCATCGTCCAGACCATAACCCCTGTGTAGCCGTGTTCTCGAAGCCAGTGAACCTGAAAAGAGAACACATATCATCGGTCAAAGATCAAGAATGATTTTACTGAGATCGCTTTTTAAGCAAGAAGATTTTATAAGTTATCTTAGCTCTTTTCTCATGTATATGATATTCTCGGATATTATGATGTGATAAAAAAAATCAGTAAATTTGAACAGTACGCACAAAAAATAAAGTACGGAATTTTCCGCTACCCTTCATGAGCAGTACCATATTTTTCAACGTCTCTTTTAAAGTACTACTTAGAAGGAGACGGAAACAGTGGAAAGTAGGTGTTAGGTAAGTAATTTATTTCACAGTCTTGATGATGTTCTGATACTTTAAGTAGACTTTGGATATATATATATATATATATATATATATATATATATATATATATATATATAAACATAAAAATGGCTTAAAATAATTGTCGGACTTTGTCCATTTCATAATGTGTGACGTCATTTGTTTACATTTGGATACGCATCAAGCAGATATGAATGTACGAGAGAAAATCGTGGAGAATTGTAGTTTAAAAAACAGTAAAATCGACCTTGCTAACCGAAACGCTCCTCTGTTGCTAAGTCGGTAAGCACGTCAGGCTATATGACGGTTCCGTATAGGATACAGGTTCGATTCCTCTAGGAGGATGCATATTTTCTATGAAAATTTCTCGGACATTCAGGCCGGTAAATGTCGTTAATACTGTTTATTATAAATAAAGCATTTACTTAAATATTTGTATCTATAAAAAAGAATATATAATCATAAAAATGTCTTAAAATATAGCGATATATATATATATATATATATATATATATATATATATATATATATATATAAGCGCGGGGATATCCGATGTTGCTCGGAAGAAATAACTTCATCTTAGATTTCTTTGCTATGTTGAAATTCAACAACATGTTGATTGTCTTGTTGGCAGTCAAATTTGATTGCAAATTTTCTTCAAATAATTTTATTTAATATTCTTCTTCGTTTAATTTTTTTTGTTAGTAATCATACTAAACTTTAATAAATTTAATGCAAGATATTTTGTTTTTGTAATATTAGTAGTATTCATTTTTATTTTTCTAAATAAACTTTTTTACAATTTTTGTTTCGAATATTTGAATAAATAAATATTAAACTTTTTTCAAATAAATTGTATTTAATATTCTAGTTCTTTTAAATTTACTTTGTTGTTTTAATATTCATTTTTAAAGTTACGTGGTTATTTACTATTCTTTGTTTTATTTAATTATCAAAAATGCATAGGAAAACTTGTAGAATAGGAACCGTTTGATTTTATCACTCATTTCACTTGGTATTCATCCAAATTCAAGCTATATTTGTATTTGAAAATAAAAATAAAAATAAATAAAAATTAGGAGAGACAGACATGAGTTACAGTCAATATTACTTGTGTTGAATATTTGTTTTATGAATTTAACTATATTTTATTTGAATTAATTTTTGAAAAAATAAGTCTCGCTATTTTACTTTAATAAAGCTTCCTTTAAAATGATTTATTTTTATGTTAGTAACAAATAAAAAAAACAATGAAGTTTATTTTTTAAAGACCGAATAAAAATTTTTTTTCCATAAAATGGCTAAAAAATATCAATAAATTGTCAATAATAAGCTATTATTCAGGGATCCAATTAAATATCCTATTTTTGCTTTAATAAAACTTAATTTAAAATTATTTACTTTTTTTTATGCTAGTTTTTCGGCGGACAAACTTTCCTAGATTTGTGAAATGGTTGCCAAGAATGATATGATTTTTTTCTTTGAAAATTTCTAGGTCAGGGAGAACAAAAGACACTCACTGTCACTGTGTTACTGACCCTAAGAACCTGCTGATATTTTTTTTAATGGACTGTGATTGGACGGTTCAAAGGTGAACCGCCCCCCCCCGCTTTGAAAGGGAAGGGAGAATTGGGACTGTACCTTAAAAGCAGTTGGAAACGAGACAGCTTAGAAAGAAGAGGTTCGTTTTCTCTTTCCCTGCTGAAAAGGCAGGCAGCGTTTGCCCATAAGTGAAGGATGCATGGGAAACAAAGTTGCTGAGGGCAAATTTCTCCTTCAGAGAAAGTCCTCTCGAAGAAGCCCCAGAAAGTAAAGTTGAAATTAAGTCCATAAGTGGAGTTTGGAGCTAAAGCCGTTTGAGAAGAAGGAGCAAACACGTGCGTTTTCAAAAAGTGTTTTAGCGCGTGTTTAAGTAAATTTTCACCTTTTAGCGGCCGTAAAAGAAAGGTGTAATTTCCAGGCGAACGGGAGGAAAATAAATGAAGAAAGAAGGGAGTTTGGTCACCAAGAAGAGAACCTTTGTCTATACAAGAGAGAAAAGAAAAAAGATAAAAGTTTTTGAACCTTGAAAGGACTGAAAGTGTAACTGAAGAGCTAAGGCTCTTCCCCCTTTTTTTATTGTTAACACTGACACAGCAGGGCGGGGGCGCTATTTTTTTTTTGGGGGGTTGGTGCATTGTAATTTTTAAGTTTGTTTTCTGCTATGTTTTTTTTTACATTGCGTTACTCAGAGAATAGGTTATCTTATTCTCAGCAAAAAGGGACGAATTTTTGCAAGAACCCTTATTTAGTTCGTTATTTTTTTCTTTGTAATTGAATCTGATTTGTATTTTTTTTCATTTTCGTTATTAATTCGGGCAACAGTCAAAATACTGTTGTAGCAGGTTTTATTTTCTTTCAGAAAATAAAATTTCCGAAATTTCATCGGAGATGTGTCGGAGGATTAATCTATGGAAATGTAAAAATCTGAGACTCGAAAAAAAGTTTCCCAGTAAAATTTAGTTATACAAAACTTCTTTGTGTGTGTATGTGTATGTATAGGGGGTTATAAAAAGAAAAAGATTGTTTTCATAAAAGAACCTATTCATTAACTAATTGAATAAGTATTGAAATATAATTTTTCTTCGAAGGTGCGTGGCACCCTGGGTTGGATAAATCTGAAATTAGGTGTAATCGTGGGCGTATCATAGTTTCAGGGTGAGGAAACCCTTGCGTCGGCCCTGCCTGGACTAATTCAAGATATTATGTTTGAAATTTGTTTTTGTAAAGTAAAATAGAATTTGACACTTACAGGACATATTGAGGTCAAGAGAGACAGAGGGAAACAGCGAGTAACCTCCCCTAATAAACTTGTGTAAATAGATGGCAGAACAGGAGCTGGGTGGGATGGTAAAAAGATAAACCTTATTAAGAACTACAATGGACAGGAATTGTGGAGAGTCATGATCACCCACGTCCCAAAAGGATATACGATACATAGAAGAAGAAGAATTTTCTTAAAATATTCAGTACGATGACATTATACGGTGAAACAGTGCACCACGTAAGAAAACAAATAAACAAAGCTCTATATTTCTCAGCATTCACGCTGCCCCTTTTTGGATTGAACATACCTTGATGGCAATACTATGTTTATCCTCATAACCAAGCCACTGGTTACCCAGCACCAAATACGGGCCTTTCTGCTCGTCAATGAAATAACGTTTGGCTCCTTTTTGCTTCATATCACAAGCCTGAAAATATTTCCGATAAATGCGCATAACATATAATGATCAGATTTCTCTTTATGGCTGTTTTTCATAGCAAAAACTTCACATTGAAGCAAAACTTTTTAGGACAATATTGTTAAAATGTTGTAACTTGAGGAATCAACCAAATTCTATTTCATTTTACAGATTAATAAGAATAGTAGAGTCAATAATGACTTGGCATTTGTACATTTATTACAAAAGCTGCAAAGAAATCATATAAACATTAAAAAAGCGTGTGAAAAGATTACAAATTTCTGTATAAAAGAAAGAATGATATCTTAATCTTTTCTTAAAATATTCTTACATGGAAATAAAATTTAACTGCTAATTACAAAGTGGTTCCATTTATATAAATTTTTTTAAGGAAATAATTATAAATAAAAAAAAGACTTGGTATCAAGACTAACAGCTTTGGTGGTATTTCTGCAAGTAAATACAGTTAATAAATCAAAATACAAATAATATTTGAAAAAAAATAACATCAACTTCTAGACTTTTTTTACTTATGTTATTGGCTTGATTTTCTAATTTATATATAATGGTTCTTTTTTCCTGTTTGTAATCATACAATAAGATTACTCGACATTGTTTTGAATAAAGGCTTATATATATATTTATATTAGGTTGTCATACATGAAATGACACACTTTATAGGAAATGAATAAAACGCCTCGAATTTATTCTCATCCCATGTAATGATGTAAAAATGGTTCTTTTTTCCTGTTTGTAATCATACAATAAGATTACTCGACATTGTTTCACTGTAATCATTTTCATTGAGCTTATGAGTAACAGTATATTGAAAGAAAACTTATCTGGAAAGAAAAGGGTCAGAAATAAGTCAAGATTTTTTAATATACTAAGGAGGGGTTATTTCGTTAGACGACCGGATCAGCATCCAACCAAAAAATGTGTGACAACCTAATATAATAAAGCCTGCTTGTGATTTGTTTGTCATAAACAGATAAAAATGCTATGAATGAAAGATGAGTAAAGTAAGAAGCGAAGTTTGACAGACTTACCTCAAAATAACTTAAAAATCCACCGATTCTTGTTATTGTTCCATTTTTGCCTGCACCATTGACTTCAGCGCCCAAGTAAAACTTTCTGGGATCACGTAGTGTAAATGTCCGACCGTAAAAAGGTATTCCAATATTTATCTTCGATTTAGGCGTTCCTAACTTGTACCAGTAAGTCACGGCGAAAGCCTTATTTAAAGAAATAAGACATTTAAACATATATAAACTTTTTGGAAGACCATTTAAATTAATACATAAGTACTTTGGCATACAAAAATGAACTTCTGTTTTTATTTATATTTCAAAAGTTTCTTCAAAGAAAATTCACAATTCTTTGTCGATTCACGTACCAGAGAAATGGATCAATTGATAATTATGTGCGCATTATATACGCAATAATGGCCGAGTGGTTAGAACATTCGCTTTCTGACCATGAGATCCAGGTTCGAATCTCACCAAGTTCGATTTGCCAGGAAGGTGACTTCTTGATGTTATCGGTCCTGGAGTAGGTTCCAGCGTCCGGCCACGGGTTGACCCAAGCCTTGTGAGTGAAATTGGGAGTCGTCCGTGGGTGTGTTAGCACGAAGTCACATCGATGACCAAGGGTTTGAGTGTGCTAGCCTTATTCAGATTGTTGATCACGTTAGATAATGCGCTTCTCTCTCCAAAACTATAACTAATGTCTGCTCAGCATAGTTGCAGTATATACCATAGATGGGGGCTGGATTGGCGTCTGCTATGGAGATTAACTCTCCGCCCTGGTAGGCTAACATTCTCGGATTCGAGTGACTGCTTTTAGGATATTACACAATAAAGAATTAATGGATTTATTTTTTTAATTCGACATATTTTTATTACTTTAAGCGTTATTCCCAGTAAATAACAATATGTGAGAAGACGTTATGTTTATTTTAAACGGTATTTATTTCGTCTACTGGGAATACTAAATAAAGAAAATTACTTTTATTGCAACACACAGATTGCTTTTGGAAAGAAATTTCAAGACTATTACATTTAATACTACTATTGTAATAAAAAAATATGAGCGAAGAAAAAATATAACTACATCGATTTGAGTGATATGATAATCGAGATTATACATATATGTGTGTAATGCCTGTCTGTTAGACTGTCTCTCTCTCTCTCTCTATATATATATATATATATATATATATATATATATATAGAGAGAGAGAGAGAGAGAGAGAGAGAGAGAGAGAGATAGGAGTGGTGCTGAAATGTTTGGGTCCTAGTTCACTTTAGCACTCATAGGACATACTGAAGGCAAAAAGGATCAGACGAAAAATGCAATTAAGCAAGCTAACAAGCTTGTGCAAATGGATGTCAAAACTAAGGCTGGGGGGTAGTTTTGTGATGTACGGTGGCCATTAATAATTCAGTATAACTTAAGGCTTCAATTTTAAATAAAAAAGTATTTAATTATAACCGCAAATAAATATTTAACAAGAACAAAGAAGTAAAAGTCAACCAAAGATAATTAACAATTTTCTTGAATAGCTTGTTAGTAGCGCGGCTCGGCTCGGCTCGGCTCGGCTCGGCTCGGCTCGGCTCGGCTCGGCTTAATTCCTGGTAAATCCTAAATCATAACACAAATCGAAGTACAATAATTCACACTAATTCGACTGGATAGTTCCATTCAATAGTCACTCAATAATCACCCAATAATCAACTGCAGTTAGTAGTTTGACGCCGCTATTTATGCACCTGAAACATATATTCATGAGTCCAGAGTTTCACGCTCGAACCTCGATGTCGGTAGTTACTCATTTTCTTCCTATATGACAGATATTAAGAGTACAAACATTGCTTAGAGCTCAAAAGTATAGGAAGTTGTGGAGAGTCATGATCGTTAATGTCTGGAAGAGAGATGGCACATAAAACAATGAGAATCTAAATTTTACTTACAAATTCTAATCTATTAGTTTTTCTAGAAGGTTTTTAATTTATTAGTTATACTTAATGTTTCATAACTTATTTTTGATCGTGAAGGCTTCTGAAAATTTTAATAGAAATTTCTTTATTCTTCTCAAAGAATTCTTATATATTATTTATTTACGGATTTTCATATTCTATTGATTATCGTCAAACTTTCCTAATCTAATTGTTGATTTAGAATTCTCTTAATCTATTAGCTTCCCTCACAGATTCCTGATCTATCGATAGCCACCATCGTTTCTAATCTGTTGGTAATCCCAACGCTTCATAATCTATTATCTCCAATGTTTCCTTATCCATTCGTTATATCTCAATCTTACTAAACTATTGGTTCGCATTAAAATTCCCTAAAATATTGGTAATCCTCAAAGGTTTCTAATCTATCGTTTATCGCCAATATCACCAAATCTATTTGTTATCTTTAAATTTTCCAAATATGTGGTTCACCTAAGTTTAGTTTAGCATATAGGATAAATTACTATATTTTACGGCCAATACGTGAAACACAAACAATTAAGAGACGCCTTCAAATAAATTTCACTAAAATCAGTAGATAGGAAAAAAACGTTACAATTCTGTACAAAACATGGCTCCAAAATTAAATAAGTGGTTTCTGTAACCTAATTGGATAGGACAAGTAACGTGTTGTGCTCTCTATGACGTCCACGTACTTGAACTCCAAATGACGTGGAAATAGGTAAGGGTTTGGGTTACCCAGTACGCGAAAAACTCAGATTTCGTGGGCCTGACATCGACTCGCCATAAGCGATAAAAGTGGCTTGTCAGCGACAGTCAGA